TGTAGGTGTGGGGAGTGAATGTACAGCGCTCTCTCCCACCTTCAATACCATGACTGAGGTGCCCTTGAGCAAGGCACCGAACCCCCAACTGCTCCCCGGGCGCTGCAGCATAAATGGCTGACCACTGCTCCGGGTGTGTGTTCACGGTTTGTGTGTGTTCACTGCTGTGTGTGTGTGCACTTTGGATGGGTAAAATGCAGAGCACTAATTCTGAGTATGGGTCACCATACTTGGCCACATGTCACTTCATGTCATGTCACAACTGTCAGTGAATTAAGTGCTACAATCATTTCAAGAAAAAGACAAACTACTTAAGATTGTTTATTGCACCAAAAGTCATTTGAAAGATCTGAGACTGAGATCACAAGTATGCATACACCTTGCCAAATCTGCAAAATGTTAATTTAAAAAGAAAATAAGAGAGGTCATAAAAATTGCATTTTGTATTGACTGCATACTTCTGAGAATACTTCATAAGAAGCTATTTCACATATTTAAAGTTACAGCAGGCTCCGTTTCTCTTGAGCCCACTAAGTTTGAACAGACCTAATGTGTGTGGTGGGGACTAATAGAGAATAGAGTCACACGAGAGGAGGCGATCCCTCCATCACACTATTATTGGTTCATGTGATGAATCCTGACTCTTGTTTTGATGAACATTTCACATCCACATGAGCGTGAATAAATAATGATGGTGTTACTGAGAAGACTAATACAAAAAAGTAAATACTAAACAACTCACTCACATAGATATCACCGCCTTATGTCACAAACAATTCAGATTTTGAAATGGCCTAAAAACATGTGTTTTTCTTTCTTTCTTTCTTTTTTTGGTGAGCAGAATTTTTTTTTATTAAGCTATGATGACTGCTGATCTAAAAAGGTGAATATTAAAAATAATACCTGAACATCAGTTCACAAATGACATATACATGAAAGCTGTTGTGCATTGTATTGTTTATTGTTATTATTTTGGAATTATGGTTATTATTTTAGAAACACTAACTTGAGATTTACACTTGGTTTTAACAAATAGAACACACATATATATATATATATATATAAAATTGTTGTTATTATTATTATTATTATTATTTGATAGTATAAATCATGTTTATTTAACCAGAAAGTAACTGGGACATGAGTTTATACTGGGAAAGAAAAGAAAACTGTGAGGACTGTCTCCTTATGTCAGAATGCCACAGCAGGCCTCTGATGTTTACATACAGGACACACAAATAATATCTAAACTAAAAGACACAGTTCAAAGGTTTACATGCGCTTTTCCCTAGTTTACAAAATTGGGACAACATAGTGTTTTTTTCTTTTGCTTTCAGAGCAAATAAGAACACAGAAATAATATTACATCACTTAGGCCTACTTCCGCTTCAACAAACACACAAACATCGGTACACAGAGGAAGCTCTTCCGTACACTCAGGAACATTGTAGCTTATACAGTTCATCACTCGTTGTTTGAGGTTGCAGTATTGGTGCTTTAGGTTTAAGTTGACGATTTATTATTGTTCACGGTTCTTTTGTAGGCAATAAAGCATGGACTTAGAAATGCAATGTTAAAATGAACTAACGGAGACGATCGTGTAGCTACACTTTAATAAGACAGAGTCTTTAAATAAAACACATTCATTTGTTATAAATTGATACTCACGCAGATTTTGTGCCATTTCTGCCTCCAAGTTTCAAAATCAAACGAGAAATCTTGCAGAAGAGGCTACAACATTAAGATTCAAAGCTACAAATAGTCGCGTGTGATTAATTATTTCTTAAAGAAAGTCCGTTTTAAGACAGCAGTAAAAATAAACATTTTCATCCTTGTAAAATATTATTTTGATAAGTATTAAATATGTGGGTTTAACATCTTACCCGAAATGTGCGCCATTATACAACCAACGCCTCGCCGTTGTCCAAACCGAAAGTAAATGTTACACTGACCTAGAAACGAGCCTGTTTGAACTAAATCCACCACAGGAGGGCGCAGGTCAACATATCCATCAGCGCTATAGCACAGGCAGAAGCTGTACTACAAATACTCACACAGAAACATTTGTCCTGATAAAGAAATTTCATTTCTAACAGTTCTGTTCCTTTCCTATCCAAACCACATTATTTCATATTAAAGATGCATTGTGCTTTTCCATCTTATTTTGAGAGTTGAGGTTGTACAATGTTTGCTAAAATTCTGTATTATAATTTTTACCATATTAACATAGGTTATTTCATTGGGATGCATTGGCTTAGTTAAATGCAATTTGAAAGTTCATGTTTAAATTGTTGTTTACCTACACAGATGCACTCAATTTTACAACATTAGTTCAGATTATGGATGATATCTGTCCCGCTTTGTGTTTGCATTATTTAACATATAATGATAGAAGTAACCTATCATGCATTGATACACACCACCATCAGCTTTGTGTTTATCTGCTCCTAAAGAAACAAACTGAGCTGATATTTAGCACAAAACAGCACTGTTTTGTTGGAATTTTCTGAAAAAAATTAATAAATAACCAGTCCAAACTATTTTTCAGTTAAGTCTGCAGAATACACAGGCATCATTTTGTTGAAGACTGGATAAAATGTGTAGAGAAAAAAGATAATGATGAGCAACTAATATAGCCAAGCCTGAAAAACATTGTTGGACTCTAACCCCAAAAAATTAACAGATTGATTACTGTGAAAGTGAAAGGCTTGAAATGCTACTGTGCTTCTCTGCGTTTGAAGTTCTAATGGATTCCTCAAAGTCTTCTCGAACAATCCTGTTGTTAGAGAAGAACAGGATTGTTGTCAGTGTCACCGCACTGCTGTGGATATTCACTGTACTTCAGAATTACAGATAATATGTCTTAAGTATGTCCAAAATAAGAACTTTCACCCGAAAAAATGTCATCTGAACAAGTAACATGTCTGCCGGTTTTGTTCAGACCAACTGGAAACATTGTTTTTTTTTTACAATAAATGACGCTACCAATGCTGATTAACGATCGCTTAGCTCAGATCACGTCAAACCGTGCAAATTATTATTATTGTTAGTTCTCAACATCAACATTGCATGACTGTGTATTTAGTGTGTATTAGCGTTACCTGTAGATTTCAATTTCTGTACAATCTCTAATTATACCATTCGAATGTCATCGAAATAAATTGTTCTTTTAACCTCAAAAAGCAATTTAATGTTCCTTTAGAACTCGTTCTAAAATGACAAGTTGAATTATTCAAGCTGCTGTAAGAAGAGGCTATACATGATCTGCCACCTGCAGCATCCACACACACGATACTGGCCGGGTCTAATTCTTTATGTGTACAGATGTGACGCAATGACACAAAGATGAACGGCGCCATGCTCGTATTTCCCACGAAAACCTACCAGTACCACTCAAATAATTACAAGCTTACCGTTGTGAATCGGGCTAAGGTAAGGAGAAAGTTTTAAACACTGGCTGGTTATGTACTTGCTCAAAAATGTATTGCCGTTAATTTTTAACCAAAAAGTTATGGACTGCATCTTTAAAATTTAAATTGGGTATTTAACAAGAAAAACCTGCTCACAAGAGTGTCATGTTTTCTAAACTTCAGCTGTAGTGGATTTTAGGAATCAATGATTTGTCACCTACTGGTTCAGTTGTTTGCTGTGAAACATTTTCAGCAGCGCTGATGATGGTAAACCCTCCTACTCGAGAATGGATTCATTTTGAGTTTTGTGTTTATGTTCAGTTGCCTGTGGATTTATAACTGCGTTCCCAATAATTTACAATGATAAATAATTATTGACATGAATGTATTTAATGTTGTATATGTCAATGGATATGAAATACTTTTCTTAACCTGTGTCAGATTAAAAGAGAAAGTTAGAATAAAGACTGTGATTCCTCCTGGACTGAAAACAAGGTTTAATTTTATCTACCTGTTCTCTTGCATCTTAAAGAAGCTCAAATTTTACACAGAAAATTACTCTTCATAACCCAGAACACACTGTAATTTAACCCATTGTTTCTGTTTGATTAATATATAAGTTATGTCATGAAGGAACCATGTGGATAGAATAAATCCTGAGAAACAGATGGATGCAGTTCAGTATATTTTCACTCTGTCTGGAGTGAATCTGGATCTCCTGAACATTTTTCTTCAGTTCATTTACTGGCTAAAATGTTTCATCTCTTAGATGGAGATCAGAGCATTTTGTATTTCAGCTGTTGACCTGCATGCAGGATTTGTCCAGGATTTTAATACAACAAGAGGACAGTCGTGTTGTTTTTGTATACTTTGTTTATTCATATCAAAGCATTATATTGATCACAGTATCATATACATATATATGTATAGTAACAACGCACCGTTGTTCTATCGAACGTGGGACTGACCAGAGCTACGCTAGGCAATTAAACTTCTGCTAAGTTACCTGCTAACAGGTTGCTAGCATTTATACACATGACTTTTACTGTGGACAGTAGAAAGTGCGAACACACGCATACCAGACCAGATGCCACAGGACTTTGAGTGTATCCGTAAGCAAAAGATCAGCCAGAACAACCCAGCAGAAGGCAATATTGCCAGTTTCTCCTTTTATTCTGAGCACAGAAGAACATCTTAAATATGGCCATATCGCCAAGTCCCTCCCCGACACATCTCTCTCCATGACGGTAACATCCACACTTTTTATAACAAGGCAGTAAATGAACCAAACCCACCTGAACTAACTTAAACATAAACACACATAACATTTCTAACGCAAAAACCCAACCATCTTGCTTAACTAACACATAATTCTACTCTAAACGAATACCCATAATACACCTGGCTGCTAGCGCTCACTGCCGGGTCATTACATTATATATATATATATATATGAACAAATCAAGAGTAAATTCCAGTGAATTGAATTAAATTAATTTAATTTAATTTAACTGAATTAATCTTACTTAACTGTAGGGGGTAGTAATGTTACAAAACTACATATATATTTGTTAAAGTTTGCTTTTGTTTGTATTTCTAAACGGCAGATACTTGTATAATCTCAATAACATAAAACTAATTTAATCATTTGAATATATGCAGTTAATCTCCATAGAAAAGGACACTTTTAGATTGAATATTGTCTTTAAAGCGCTTGTATCCAGTACTCTATTATTTGTGACGGAGTAGCAGTATCAGATCGGAAGTGGGCGGAGTTCATATAAACGAATAATGGCGGAAGACACGATAAGTTAATTACGGCGTAATTACGAGAGCTCAGTCAAAAGTTAAAGAAATCTAAGTATTTTGCAAGTGGGCATTGTGACGAAGGCACTTGAGCACGTAATTATTTTGCAATTGGATTGTATCACTTTGTTAGGTTACATATTTTTATAGATTTTACAGCTGTAAGTCTTTGTATAAAAAGATCTATTAACTATATGATATAATCTATAAACTTGATCTATTAACACTTTTTGTTTTTTTCCCCATATGCAAGTCTGATTTTCCCCTCATTCGAAAATGGTGGTGCCTTATTCTGATGGAGAATTTTGCCATTGAAAGGTCTCTCTCTCTCAGTCTCTGTCTCTCTCTCAAATTCAAATTCAAATGAGCTTTATTGGCATGACTTGCACAGTATTGCCAAAGCATTGTCCATTACATGAATAAGGAATAAACAATTATATAATACATAAACAAAACAACAATAGATATGTAAAATAATTAAGGAAATAAGTACACGTGCACTTTTTTTTTCTTCTTTCTTTTCACAAACAAGAAAAATATTAAAGACATTGTTAAAAAGAAATTCTCTCTCTCTCTGAAAGTTTTTTTTGTACATGTGTCTATACAATGTCAACAAATTAATTTGTTGCAGGAAACATGCTGCTGTTGATGTGCTGGTGCCACTTGAACAACACAACACTGAAATCGCCGACATGGTATGTTTTTGTCTCAAACGGGCACATGAGAAAAACAGAATTTCAAAACTTTAATTTACATGCTACATCCTGATTAAAACACAAGGTATTATTGAGGACACTTCCAATCTGCCCAGGGACAACAGATGAAAATTAGCTAGCAGCTAAATCTGGTGCAAACCATCTCTTCTCTTGTGAGAAGTTTATTTAAATTAATTAAATATTTCATCCCTTTTTTTTGTACTATTCTCTCATGAAGGAGCCATGGATAGTAAAAGACCTCTTGACCGCAGTTGGATGGCTGCCAAACTGCCATGCCTTCAGAGGTTTTGTGAAAGAGCCGTGGTATCTGAAATTAAACGAGGAAGACCAGGAAAAGGCCCTTCAATTTAATCAGGCGGAAATCAATGATGACCAACAACTGGCCAAAGAGCCTTTCATGTTTTGTTTCCAATTCAAGGAAGATATGGACGTTTTTCTTTGCGAGTGTCTGGACAAAAGGCACCTCAGGATTAACTCCATGTTTATGGAGTTTTGATTTATTTTATTTTTGAGAGTTATTGTTAAATGTGTGCCTGCATATGCTTTTTCTATTTAAGAGGGGAAAACACATTTTATTTAAATTAATATTTTTATTTTTGTTCTATGAAAAAACGTGGTTAGTTTTGAAATGGAGCATAAAAAAATTGCAAATGCTCAAGCTTTGTTTTTTTTTTTGTTTTTTATAAAGATTTGTAAAATTTATATTGTTAA